ACTTGCTGATAAAGCATGGATTAAAAAAATAGCATCAACAGATTGAGAAGCAGTACAGTACATTTCTGTTACAATAGCTATTCTCCTTAGGCGTAATGACAGCCTTGAGTCTACTACTGCTTTGAAATACAGAATTATACAGCACATGACCAGAATATTATCACAGAACTACATGCGAGTGTTGCAAAAATCTGGGGGCTTAAAAAAAACTACAGATTTTTTTTTCTGTAGAGGAAGCACTCTAAACTCAGATTATCCAAAAAGCCCTATTTATCTTCCTGTTGACAGACGCCTTAGTTTGAGATTAAATAAAACCCAAAGACTCTATCTACAGTTGTTCCTGATGGATTCCTAGTTTCTTTAAACTACTTCCAGAAGACACAAAAATAAAAGCAATAGTCTGCTAGAATCTAATTCTACTAAATTCTAAAACTAGAATCTAAGAAGCAACCTTAGAAGGCAAAATTGCAAGCAATTTGATTTTGTACTTTCCTAGCTGAAATAGCAGTGTTAGAGGTCTTAGGGGAACTGTTCCAATCCTCCATAATATTTAATATCCATATTTACTTGGGGCTGTATATGGTCACATACTCCACAATGTATTTAGTATACTTTCTTCTATTGATTGGAATTCAATTATTTTATACGCTCTGTGCTTCAACATTGCTATCAAATCACACCAATATTTGTTTTTCATACATATCCCCAGTTTGAGATGTGGTAAAGGTACAGCTGTCTTGCCAGAACATCCTTTCCAGTCCTGTATGTTAAATGTAAGATTCTCTGTTGCCTTATCATTCAATTAACAGAACACAAATACTACCTTTACCACATATCACAAGCAGATCATCTACCTCCCTTCTTTTATACTCACAAAAAAAGCTGTGATCAACTGAGCTTTCCAAGCTATAATTGGTTTTTATTTACAACATTACAATTACCACACAAAACCCTCACTGGCCAGTATTTTCATAACACATCTAGGTTATATTAATAAAGCAACCTACAAAATGTCTCTTTTCCAACTGAAATGCTGGCTTTAAATAAGCTTTACCTCTAAATTTTAGTGCCTCCCAATGCCTATCATGTAAAAATGCACTTAGATGTAAAAAAATCCCTCCTGCTACATTTGTACAACAGCAATACAGCTCACAAAAATAAACATCAGCCTGCTTGAAATCGATGTTTTTTATACCCTTTTCAAAATCATAAATGCATTTTTTGTTTTTTTTTTTCCCCTTGGAAAAACTTGGAAATTTAAAGGCAGAACCCACAAGCAAAAACTACTAATCATCTACAGTTAGGCTACATGCTTTTTATCTTTGGGATCACAAAGTATTTATTCTAAAGAAAGTTTGTTTGTACATGGAACCTCAATGCTTCCAAGAAAAACAGATAAGTTATCTGCAGCACAGAAGAGCAAAATGAGACAAAACATGCAAGATTGCTAGTTCAAAGGCACTCAAAGAAAAAATGCCAGACTGAGGAACATAAACTACTCCAATAAATACAAAACCTCCCAAGCACTTCTACTGAAATTATGAGATTACTCAAAAGTTTTCAGACAATTGCACAAACAGAAATACTTCAGATCAGGTTTGCAACACAACACAAAAAGTAATTCCCACTTCTCTGCAAGACCAAGACAGCACAATAGCTACTATTCCACCCAGAGCTTGCCTTTACACTTGAGCAGACAAACAACGAGATGACATTACTTAACTATTTTCCTGCATTCAGAACTTGCCCTCACCTGAAAACTGTAGCTACATGAGCTCAGAAACTTTCCAGTCACTGCAGAAACTAATATATAAACTCTGGTGATCTGTTCTCCTGTTTTCAGTAGGAAATTTACATATGAATTACACACCAAATTCCTCTGGGCCGATAAACTTCTGTACTTTCATGAAGAAAATACGGCTTCCTTGTTATCGTCCTCCTCTTGCTATTCTTTGCTGTCATAGAAAAAACAACTCTACCTCTAAAATCAGCAAGCATAAAGATAGATCCATTTCTTGTCTTTGAGTTTATTCTCAGAAACAGAGGTTTGGGAATAAACACATTTCAAGAGATTGGAGGCTCCCAGATTTTCTGCCAGACAGAGACTCCGGTTACTCAGCTGCCATGTGCAAAAGCACTAACACAGTGATCTGTGCTGGTCAAGAAATCATCTAATGCATTTCATCTGATCCTCAAAGACGTACAGAGTGGTATATAATAGCTTACATAAAAGACTGATGCTAGGAGCCTGACGGCAAGATTCAGATGCCAAGTTATTTCCTAATACTATTCATATTCATTAATCATCATTAATCAAAGAAGAAGGGAACATACACAGAAGCTAAAAACAGCACAAGACTAAGGTGTTTCCCATGGCACAATACAATACAAACATTGTTTTTGCACTCAAGAATACAAATGCAAAGATTTCATAACCGTGCTATGTGTAGGAATTCAAAACAAACCTTACCTTATTTTAAATTGCACTTTTATTAAGAAGTCACACTATTCTAGTGCAAGGTGGCAGGAAACATGCCATCTTCCTTCGGCAGAGTTTTCCAAATGCCCCTGTGTTCAACTAAGTCTAGCTCTGCTCTGTTTTGTTTTCACAAGAGGACCCATTCAGCACCATGTGCTCCTTTTCAGCTGTCAATAAACAGAGGGAGTGAATTCCCCAGAGCTTCACAAAGCTAGTTAGGCATAGCCATTCATTTCTTCAGGAAAACAGGGCATTGATTTCAGCAAATTCCCAGGGAGCAGCTACAACAAAGGGATCAAAGACCCACCTCCTTTCCTGCACGGCTCTCAGAGGAGCAGCGACAGGTTTCCTGAAGACTGGGCTGGAGCCCCAGCGACCACCGCGTGCTTCATTCACACTCATCACCTTCTTACACTCCCAGGACAGCCCCAGTGCAGACCGTGACAAACCCCTACATTCAGGCAGCATAATGTACTGCACGCTAGTTCATCCAAGGATAAAAAGGAAAACAAGCTCCAAGGGAAGTCCGCTGCTTCCCTGACCGGTTGAGCCTCAATAGCTGCAGACATTTTATAAACTCTCCTCTTTTTTGCCCTTAGCTTCTCCATCTAAAACAGAGAAACACAGCTACTTCCAATTCATCGTAATGAAACTTCACTGGGATGCTGGCTTTTTTCCACAGGCTTGAAGACATACCTACTGGAATTTGAGGTCTGGCCTCAGAAGCCCCTGCATTGAGTAGCCATGACATTTTCTTTGTGTAATTTGCCCCAGACTGCAGCATTTTTTTTTCCTAGGAATCCAAGGGGGGTTGCTCTGGTTTGGTTAGATTTTTAATTATATGTGTGCTCTTTGTTAAGGTGACTTGGAACAAGATTGCTAATCCTAGGCTTTGACCTTGTTCTGAACCAAGCATTAATGACAGATGATGCTGTGGTTAAGCTTAGTGTTGGAGTGTTAAGGCTTCATGGCTACTGCTACCACCAGTGCCACAGGCTGCTTTCTTGTGCTGAGACTACTTGGCACATGGTCCACATGACTAAACAGCTCATCTTCACACAGGACACTGTCAAGCTATATTGTTAATACTTCCAGAATAGTAAATTCATGTGCTTCTCTGGGCAGTCTATTTCAATGCATAATTGATCCCATTACAAACACTTTTTTTTCTTACATTCAAAGGCATTTCCCTGGAAGTAGACCATGGTCACTGCCCCTTGCCTCACCATGATGCATCCTTGTGGAGAGAGCACTTCCACTTTCTTCTTCATAACCACCATTTTTGTACTGGAAGCCAATGATCAGCTCTTCCTGAGCCTTATCTTCTCCAGGCTAAGCACAAACAACACCTTCAACTTCCCCTCACATGTTAAGTTCCTTAATCTGGTGATCATTAAGGAAAGCATGACTGATGCTGAGACTGAGCTGAAGAGTGAAGAACGAAATTAGCTAAAATGGATGAACCAGCGTAAATGACTGAGCAGAGTTAAGGAGTCTTAAGTGATTCACACCAGAACTAATGTGCAGTCACCCTACCCTTTCCATTTTTTTAACAATGCAATCTTGACAGCAGTTCTGACTGTTGTATATGAAACAGTCACCCATATAGTCACCATCCTTATGAATCTTTTAGAGTTCTTTCTGTATCTAAACAGAACTCAAGCGTGAGCACAATTGCCAGCTGGCAGATGAAGTTCAAAAATATCACTTTCTGAAATAGCTTGAAGTAAATATATCACCTCTACAAATAGCTGTTATTTACCAGTCAGCTGCTACTGCTTTTTTTATTTATTAACTGATTACAGTTACTGACAAAAATATATTTTTTCCTTGATCTGTATTAGGAGGGATTGGAGACTGACAAAATGGGTTCCCAAAATGGCAGTTGAGGCATTGGAAGGATTCCAGAATAAAGCATTTAAATCAGAGCAATAGGCATAGAAAATATGCTTGATGCTGCAGATAACATAGGCTGCAGTGACAGAAGCACGAGTATCAGGCAGACCCAAGAAGTAGCTTTTTGCAGAAGTTATGACAGCAAAGTATGAGAATATGCCACTTGCATATTCTTTGCTGCTGGAAAAAAATGATGGATAATGGAGATGAGGAGTGGGACTTGGATGTGATTTGGATAATGATGTCTTTGAAAAGCAAGAGTTAAATTGACAAAGTGATTAAACACCCTAAGCGTATCACTTGGTAGTAATCTGGGATAGTATCTGTGCAAAGAGAGATGAAATATTTAAAACAGAACTGTGATTTTTAAAGCCTCAATGAATCTGTCTGTTCTTATGCAGGGGCCAGATTTTTACAATTTTACTCGTATTAAGTCATGCCTTACTCCAAGAATAATCCCACTGATTATAATGGTAATATTGTTCCACAGATGTCTCAGAAGAAACGCAAATGTAAAAGCAGACTTTATACTTAAGATAAAAGACATCAATCATGAGCACATCTGGGAATTTGATAAAAACATATGGTACAAAAAATCACTGTGAGATGACAGAAATGTACTTACATAGCAGGTCTGTGGACATGTTTACAGATCAGGCATAGGAAACCTACGTAAAATAAATGAAAAAGAAAGATCAGTTTTCTGAAATAGCACAGTTCCTGTTTAAAATTCATGCTAGTTACCATGCACATCCTTTTTTCTAGTTCTCTAAGAAACAGGGAGAACATATCTAGGGAAATCTAAATAGGAAAAATTTCAATTAGTGAAGGAAAAGAGTGAATCTGTCTATTATTAACTCCTTAATATATGAGCTCATTTCATAAACAATGTGAAACGACATTAAAGTAATGCATGTTAATTAAGTTGGAACAATTTGCTATACCCCACTTCTTCATTAACATGTATTACAAAAACAGAATTTTCAAGCACTGTGTAAATATACCCTACTGCATGCCATTTTGTTCTTAAGCCTGCTGTTCCTGCTATTCATCTTAAGTATCCTCACAGCAAAGTCAAAGGGAATAATAACTACAGACAGGATAAGGCACTCTCTTCCACTCCTGAAAGACTTCTGCAGAGTTTTAGTTTCCTGCTGAACTCTGTTCATTTTGTTCCTTTCCCATTTTTCCACTGTTTTTTTCTTGAAATTTTACGATGGTCAGAGAGTTTATAACAAGAGCAGAGTCTGCCTTTGTTGTAGTTGTCTCAGCAGTGTCTACCACTGTGGAATCTCAATGTGTGGATATGGCTGCTTGAAGCAACACAAATAAGGCAGGCACTAAAAAGGGGGTGCACAAGTAACAGTAAGAATCACATCAGCATATGCCGTTTTGCCACATCCAAATTTTGGGTATGGACTGAAGGTACACGTATATGATTTAAGGTGAAAACTTCCCATTGGTGAAGAAAATGGTATTTGTTGCTGACTGGAATGGCTCAAAGATACAACGATTGCTAGTCAGATACTTCCAAATTAACTGGAACTGGTTGGGAGAACTGAGAGAAGAGAAGCTTGGAAGAAGACAATACAGGCAAAACAGACAACAAAGAATGATAACTGAGCAGGAAACAGTCATGTGGAATAGAGAAGTGGTAGGTAAGATAGGAAAAATGCAGAGCACAATGAAGTGAGGAGCTAGTAGCCCACTACGGAGAACACGCCAAGAAAGAAGCTGTGACTTTGCCAGGTGTATCTATTAGCAAGATGAGGAAGCTGCTATCTAACTATCTCCTGCAACTCAGGAGAACACTGTAGTAATATTTTCAACCCTGGGAAGATAAAAATCCATTCTGATGAACAGTTATAAGCATGTAAGTTGCTACCTGACCTTGAGGACATACCACTTGTCCCTGGATAGACAAGAAGAAGCCACAAAGAGCGTTACCCCACCATTTACTCAATGATGTGTATACAGATCATGGCTGCTGAGCAACAGAATAATTATGCTGATGACATTATCAAATTAACAATTGGTAAATTTATATATTCTTGTTTGTAAGTGATTATAGGCCCAGTCCTAAGATCATGACAAGCAAAGTTAGTGAGTCAGAGTTGCTATCTTACCATGCATCTCATCACAACATAATCAAACTCCCATGGACTTAAATTGTCAATTTGAGCATAAAAGGTAACATGTAGGAAAACACAGATTTTAGAAGCTCCACTCTGAAACTGGAAGAGTTCTGACTTTGAAATATACAGAGCTACCTGGTCTTTGCTTCCCACATACTTAGCCATGCTTTTCAAGCCTACACTGCCTTCACCAACTAGATGACAAATACATGCATTGCTCTTTAAAGGGGGACAGGGGTGAAGGGTAGCTGATGGGTATACTGAGTCTTTATTCTCAAATGTTCTAATTTTCAATGTAGAACCAAGAAGATTACTCCCACTTTTGGGACGCATATATTCCCTGACATAGAGGAGATAATACTGTCAGGGACCAGTTCATTACAGACCCTCAGCAGAGAAGTTGCTACAAGGAAAGATGCTTCAGTTGCTCACACATAAGCATCCAGTGCCCTCTGAGATACCCTAGGATATCTGAAGCACCTACGTGAGGCTGGTAGACATAATGATGGATACACAGGAAAATGAGCCCCTTCTGGACAGGCAGGAGGGCAGGATTACCCAGGACATCTCGGATAACACTAGAAGCTTATGTTTAAGCAAATGAATCAAGTCCTACAGTATTGCCATTTCTCATTTTACAAGAAGCCAACTAGAAAACTGGCAGCCAGACTGCCAGTGCATCCTTTCTGTCTGAAATCAAGGGAACTGAGGACAAGTCACGAAACAGAAGCATCAACCCATCAACTTTTCTTCTGTAACTTCTATCTTCTGCCAAAACAGCTGTCTCTGGTGAATACATAGTTTAGTATGAACTGTCTACATGCAGTCCCACTCTAAGACAAAAGATGTGAGACAGAAGCAGTAAAGAAGCCTGGATGCTAAGGAGACATGAACAAGTCCTCTTCCCCAGATGAACACAGTCATGCTGAGAACAGGGTTTCTAAGCAGCAAGTTTCCTGATTTCTACTAACCATAAAATACTTGAACTCTGCAAGTAACTTCATAGTTGGACTCCATTCTGGCTAAGGGCGAGGCACTTGTCTATGATATTAATTTCCATTAATGTAGACCTTGCAGAGGGAACAGCAGACTTAAATGGCATCCATATGTGACCGTACCCTCCCATCCCTTTGCCCATGCTGACAGGGCTGCAGCAGCAGCAATCTCTGAGTGTCCAAGTCTGGCACTTGGTGAGCACACAGTTTGCAGACCAAGAGCAAACACCTCCTTGAGGGCATCCCAGTTGCAGAAACACAAACCGCTTACAGAGCAACAGAGCAGCAGGTGCACCAACACAAGGAACTGCTCCTCTTCCAGCAGTCAGTCATGTTATCTCTGACAGGGTGCAGATAAGTGCAGCAAGGAGTATTTGCAGAGGCAAGGGAGTGTAAGCAGAACTAAAAGCTCCTTCACAAGCTGAGCCAGACCCTTCCCACACTTACTCTCAACACAAACTCACAACCTCCCCTCCTTCTAGCTGCAGAAAACCACCATCTCTCCCATTCCAAGGTCAGCCCTTTGGTGTACGAAGGTACCTCTTGCACGCTATATTGCCCTTCAATCAAGGGGATGACAACACACACAGAATGGCACATGTAGAGTCACAGCAGCCTCTTCTTCTGTGCCAGCTAGGCACAGTGCCTGGTGGTTTCTGGCCACGTTGGCCACTTGTCAACCTTAACTTAGATGGTTGGCCTCTGGCCATGCTGGCCACAGTTTAACATTCCTGTTGGCCAATCTTCTGTGGTTTTACTTGTAAACCACTTGTAAACCGCACCAGCCTTTACACAAAGCATTGCAGGTATATCAACCTAACTTGCCACGCTGCTCACAAAGCCAAAGGTTGTTTGCGGCTGCTTTCAAATACTGACATGTTTCATCAGTGGAAGGGCAGAAAAGGACAAGGAACAGACCGGGGAATGTTTTCCATACAAGGAAACTGCAGCCCTTACAATTAATGTGAGGCAAGTCTTCTGAGGTTCTTGTGTTCTTTCATTATCAGGAAATTGGTTTATGTGCTTATCCTAAGTAGGAATTGAAGTTGAATATGATAGTTAACAGTGTTCACAGAGGGCAAAGCATGGGTTACAGGCTCATTGGATGAACAGAAGTTCAATGCCTTGCAGTGGCAATGCACTGGTAAAAGAAGTGAGAATGGGTTCTGCACTGCCTATGGAAGAGAAGAATAGGCTGTGGAGTACATTTCTGCATGAGCCAGGTAGAAGCAGTTGCAATGGGAACAGCTGTCATATTAACACATGCTGTGGGTGATACCCTTGCGTTTGCATCATGATCTTGCATCATCTGCTGATGACAAGAGAACACACTGTCTGCAAGAGATAACCATGTCATGCACAAAGACCTGGATGATGACTTTTGAACTGTAATCAGAAGTAATGATTTGACATGATATGGATCAAAAATGCACCTCAGCATCATGCCACATGCCAGAGAGATGCAGATCATAGCTAGCAGCTTTACAGAATCACAGAATCATGCATTAGTTCATCAGTTGCTGTGAGGCTCTTCTCTTGATGCCATGAAGCCATCTCTCCACTTCCTCATGCAGATGATAAGGGGATGCTGCTGCTCTTCAGGTATCTGAAGAATGTGCAGTAAAACCTGTTATAGATCCACAATGACCTTAAGTAAAGATAGATGGCTTATTCTTATCTAAGCATCTTTTATCACACTATAACTGAGTAAAGGTAAAATGCAAGTAAAGGCGTTTTTTCAAGAGATCTAAGCTAAGTAACACAGTTGCAGATGTCTCTAAAATACACATGCTCAGACGTGACAGGAAAACCACACTTAACCTACTTATATCAAGATTAAATCGGGAAGGACTCTTTTTTCCCCCTCAATAGAAACTGGTTGCCCAGGCTTAACTTTCAGCATACCTTATGACTCAGGTTGTATTCGTTGGAAGAAAACACTTAATGCATCTACTATACCGCATTAGAATCCCATTAGTGCTTCCTACTTGTTCTCTTTTGGCTATTGCTAGCTCTCGTGCTGGGCATTTCTGCTGACATCTATTTTGTTGAATTCATGAACAGGAAGGAAGGAAAATCACAACAATACAGAAATGAATTAAGTATTAAGAGAGAAAGTAAAACACAGGGCCGAAGTTAGTATCAGTCCCAGATGTGTATCCAAAATCAAGATTTGGCTTGTGATATTTACAATTCAAACAGATCCCACAATAAAATTTTGTGCATTTCCCACCTACTACGTATAGAATCCTTTACCATAGAAAACATTAAACATGAAATTATAAATCCTTTTATAATAATCAAGTAAAACAGCATATACTTGTATATTTACTTTGCTAAAATTATGGGTTTTTGGTGTTTTTTTTTTCAAATCATGGAATTATTTTATAATTATAAAACAGTGAATGAAATGTTTATTCCCACCTGGCATCACTTTCCTATGCTGCTGGTGGCAGGTCACAGCCAGACAGATGTCACCCTCACCAGGTGACCACTTGTCACCCCGCACATAACTCTTTTACCATTATAACATTATAG